TCATGGATGTGTTGAGGATAATCAAGGAACATGCTTTTGCAGTCTCTGACTACCCTGTGATCCTCTCCATTGAAGACCACTGCAGCCTCCCTCAGCAGAGGCGGATGGCTGTTGCATTCCAGGAGGTCTTTGGAGATGCCCTATTGAAGCATCGGTTGGATCCTGCATCAGGGGTCATGCCCTCTCCTGAGATTCTCAAGAGGAAAATCATCTTGAAGCACAAGAAATTGCCAGAGAGCAGCTCACTTGAGGACACGGCGGCAGCTGTACGTGAAGATGCCGAAGGGGATGCCTCGAACTGGGTGAAGAATGGTGTTTTGTACCTGGAAGACCCTGTCGATCGACGATGGAATCGCCACTTTTTCGTCCTCACCCCGAGCCGCCTATATTACACGGTCGAGCGGGAGGATTCTGCAGGTGAGGATGATGGGGATGATCGGGATCGCAGCTCAATTGTCAAAGAGTCCTGTCCCAACGAGGAGCTTCACTTTGGAGAAAAATGGTTCCATGGGAGGCTTCCTGGGGGACGTGCCAATGCAGAGAAACTTCTACGTGAGTATTCACACTTGGGTGATGGGACGTTCCTGGTGCGAGAGAGCGAGACTTTTGTTGGGGATTACTCGCTTTCCTTCTGGCGGCAAGGCCAGGTCAACCACTGTCGCATCAAGAACCACCAGGAGAGTGGAAGGACCAAATATTACATGATCGACACGCTGACGTTCGACAGCCTCTACGACCTCGTCACGCATTACCGAACGCATCCTCTGAGAAGTCAGGAGTTCCTCATCACGCTGAAGGAGCCGGTCCCTCAGCCGTCTCAACACGAAGGGAAAGAATGGTATCACAGTGCCTTGACTCGTCAGCAAGCAGAAGAATTCCTGAAGCGAGTGCCTTACGATGGGGCGTTCCTCGTCCGCAAGTCCGACAAGGAGCCCAATACTTATGCCATATCTTTCAGAGCTGAGGGGAAAATCAAGCATTGTTGCATCAAGCAAGAAGGTGTTTGTCTTACTATTTTCTTTTATAATGTTTTTGTCTAGCTTCCAAATGTGAAAGTTGAAGATTTAAAGCAACATTTATGCACACTGGGCATATAATTCTTGGCTAGCAAATCTCGTAGCAGCTGTTCCTAGAGATTTTCATGCTATTCTGTTCATGATAGCACAAAGCTTGATTAATGGTGCTTCAAGAACTTCATATCTTCTCCTCCCATTTCAACACCTCCAACTCGTTTTCATAGGACGGTTGTTCGTGATCGGGACATCGCAGTTCGAGAGCCTTGTGGATCTTGTGGAATATTATGAGAAAAACGATCTTTACAAGAAGATGAAGTTGAAGTATCCAGTGAATGAGGAACTGGTGAGGAGGCTGAAGCTGGAACCAGAGGAGGGTGCTGTCTATGGCCATCCAGACCTCTACACTGACCCCAACTCCTTCACCTCCAAGGTGCAGAGGAAAAGAGAGCCATTTCAAATGTTGTATTTTTACTTATTTAATTCCTTGATTTCTCTTACTCATGTTGGAACTCAAATGTTTCTCCTTGTGGTGCTCGAGAAATGAAAGGGCAAATGAGGTGAAGACACTGGTAATGTTTTTCAGGGATGGATAGTAGCAGCTAAAGTTGGAAAATTGGCTCAGCTATCAGAATGAGAGGAGCTACCATATGAATTACCATACCATATTGGCTTCATGTGATTTATGTCTTTGGGGCATATCCTATGAGTCTCAAATAGCAGCTGGAAAAGGTTGCACTGATGGTTTTAAAGTAAAATTAGATTTCTTGTGAACGAAAATGAACTGTTGCTTAAAGCAGAGACATTGTTCAAAGCAGAAACTAACATGGATCCATTTGGAACTTGGGATGTACATGGGAATGTCCTTCATCACAGCCAAGCATTGGTCTTTTTCTGATGAACATCGATACTTGGTTCAGATGAAGGAGACATGAGACAATCTGCCTATTCTCTACTTGACAGGCTTAAGCTATGCATGTGCAGATTTCATGCACAGATGTTTGGGAAAGTGTCATACTATTCTCTACTTCCCTCTTCTCATGTTTCAGATGAAGAACCATAAAACACATGCTGAATTAGTTTGTGACAAGGACTGAAATTTTTAGCTATGCAAATCTTATCATTTTAATTTACCTGTGGACATATACAGGTGGTGGTGAAAGCAATGTATGACTACCGGGCACAGCGGGAGGATGAGCTCAGCTTCTGCAAGCATGCCATCATCAGCAATGTGAATAAACGGGATGGGGGATGGTGGCAGGGAGATTATGGTGGGAAGAAGCAGCACTACTTCCCTGCCAACTATGTTCAAGAGGTCTCACTTCATTTCCTATTGTTCTTACCATGTGTGATGTGCTGAGTGTTATGGCCTCATGTGTTTTGGACAGGTGGAGAGTGGTGAAGAGAATGGTGAAGGAGCGCTCCTTGGGAATCTTCAGCAGGGGAGCGTGGATATCGTCGGGTGTGACGTCGAGATCCTCGATTTCCAGGCTTCTCCTTCGGTCTCGTCGCCTCGTCCCTCTTCGGCGACGGCTCCGACCTTGAATTGGATCGTGAGGATCAAGAATTCCACGATGATGCAACCGTTCGACCTCGCGTGTCCCTCACGTGCCGAGGCCGTCGAATGGGGTCAGAAGATCAATCAGGTTTCCCAGCGGGCAAACGATCTGGTGAACCAGCACAAGGAGATGGAACGTATCAAGCGGATCGCCAAGGAGCTTTCCAACTTGGTGGTGTACTGTCAGAGTGTGGCGTTCTGCCCCGAGAGGATCCAGGAGGCCCGCATCCACACGGAGATGTCCTCCTTTCCCGAGAACAAGATTGAAAAGTGGTTGAACCCAGGGAATGTGAAGTTTCTCCTTTGGTACCATCAGATCCAGATGAGCAGAGTCTATCCAAAGGGTCAGCGCCTGGATTCCTCCAACTACGATCCTGTCCGCATGTGGAACGGAGGCTGCCAGATGGTGGCTCTCAACTTTCAGACCCCTGACAGGGCAATGCAGTTGAATCAGGGGAGGTTCCTCGCCAACGGAGGATGTGGTTATGTCCTCCGTCCCGAATTCATGCTGTCGGAATCCTTCGACCCGTACAATCGAGGGACGTTGGACGAGGAGCTCGTCCCACCACTCTCGGTCACGATACAGATTTTGGCCGGGCGACACCTGACTCGGCCTGGTAAATCCGGTCGTGGGATCTTGAGTCCTTTTGTGGAGGTAGAAGTTGTTGGGGCTCCATATGATTCTGGCAATCGTTATATAACTAGAACTGTTCAAGATAATGGATTCAATCCTGTATGGAACGAAGTGTGCTCATTTGACATCGCCTGCCCCGCTTTGGCGATGATCCGCTTCGTGGTTCAAGACGAAGACATGTTCGGGGAGCCGAATTTCCTCGGCCAGGCTACTTACCCCGTAGAGTGCATGCGTTGTGGATATCGCAGCGTGCGCCTTCGAAACGGATACAGCGAGAGCCTGGAATTGGCATCGCTCCTCGTCCACGTCGAGATGAGGCATCCGCGCTCGGAGGAGAACGAGATTCGGACCCTCCGAGATCGCCTGACCGATCTAAAGCAGTGCATCGAAGTCGGCCCCAACCCCGAAGATGTCACTCGGAGTCGACAAGAATTCACTGATCTCGAGCGGCGGCTTTTTGCTCTCCTCGGTGACGGGCAAAATCGCCTCCAGCGACATCAAGGCCGACTCATGAGACGGGTCTCCTCGTCCCTGTCTGCCACCGCCTCGGTCTCGAAATGAGGAATGTCCATAGTGTCTGATTTTTCTCTTTCCGTCTCACCATTGCTCTGCAGCAATCATTGGTGCTCACATTCTACTTGACAGAATTTCTCAATTGTGTGAATTTCTAGTCGCCCGGGGACTGATGCAATTTTGCAAATTCTGATGCAACCAAGCAGGGGGAAATTTGGGAAGGAAGATACCTTCTTCCTCTCCTCGTTGTCAGTCATTGTCTTTCGCTTCTTCATCTTGTTCTCATTCCAGTTTGGCTGACTTTCTTTTCCTATTTTTTCATGCAAATACAGTTGACATTGATATTAAGGCTTTAAATGACAAATAGCCACTGTTTAATGCATTTTCTTCCACTCTTGACAATATATATATATATTTTCTTTTGTTTTCTTGAGGAAGTGTGTCATTCAGAGAGGAAGGAAGGTATGATTGGAGCCATTAAAAAGAGTGTTGAAAAGCACCCTTGGAGTGAGGAAAGAGTTATTCCCATCTCACTCTGGCTCTCCTACCTATGCTATTTTTTTTAAATTGTTTTTTGGAGTGTCCTCCATCTCCCTTTCCCTCCTGACATACCCTCTGAAATTCCAGCAGGAGAGAGAGAGATGGTGAAGAGTCGGTTGGAGATCAACTTCCGTCGCCTCTTGGTGCGATGCGAGACTTTGGCCGCATCCAGCGACTGGAAGGACACATGGAGGAGCCAAGAGGTCTTCTCGTTCCGGTCGTCCTCTCGTTCGTTTTGCCTCGTTTGCTCATCTTGCTGATTGTGTTCCCATTTGCAGTATCTGAATGCTTTGACTGAACTGCTGGCCGAAGTGAAGTCTGCTCCCAAGTGAGTCTATGCGTTTTTCAAAGCTTACAAGCCGTGTCTGTGAAATGCGAATGAAGGGGACCCACTCGCCATTTCCGTGCAGCCGGCCAGACCCAGAGACCCTCTCCGACTATCAAGCCAAGGTCGACTACCTGAAACGGGTTGTTGCTGCGGAGAAGCTGGTCGGAATTCTGTCCTCATCAGTCCTCTCTTGCTGTCTGAAATTGTTCCTGTGTTTAAACTGCCGAAAAATTGCCAACTCTAATCCTATGTGTTGGTTAAAACATATAAATTTTTCCTATTCATTCTCTAACTCAAAGGTAATGTGAATTTCTATTGTAAAATTCATTATTATTCTTTGTCATTAAAAATGGTTTGTCCTGCCTTGCCTTCCATTCTGTAAACATCATATGTTAGTTACTCATGTAAAAGCGCTGCACACGGTTCTGCTTCCTTAAAATCACCTGTCTTTCGTTCAGGGAACCGGAACGGTGAGAGAGGGAGGCGGAACAGGGACGCTCGGCCTCACAGCCCCTTCCTCCCAGCTTCAGGATCCACTCACGAGAGATCTTCAGCATCGCGTCACGTCTCGGGTCAACGAAGACGTTCGCAGGGAACTCTTCGGTCAGGAATCAGATTCCAACTCACTTTCCCACTGAGATAATGTTTTCTCACCTATTTGATATGTGCATGTGCTGTATGTGGATATACTGAGTTTTAATCTTGGAGCCTGTGGAAGTAATCTTTTGTTATAGAGTCATATTGGTGTCAGTAAACTTGCAAGATCCTTTGTTTGGCTATATTTTGAGAAGTTATGTGAAGTTTTGGTTAAACTTACTTTTATTCAGTTGTATAATCCACTGTGAATTTTAAAACTGCATCTCTGCAATTTTTATGCTAGTGATAGTGTTCTTGATAAATAAATGACTGGAGCATTGTTAAAACATAGAGTACAGAATGTGATTAGAATATATTTTATCTTGTGTTTCCTCGACTAATGTATGCATGTTGAAGCAGTGAGTCATTTGTGACTCGTTCATTCATATTGTTTTGTCATATTTCTGACAATTTTCATCCAGACAAATCCACCCGTGCATAATCCCATGAAGCAATATGAAGGATTTTGGTTGTGTGGTGCAGGGAGGGGGGAGCAGGCCTCGCTAGAACCCAGGCACCGGAAGGGGGCGACGGCGACGACGACGGACTTCGATGCCCTCCTCCAGTTCCACCACAAACAGCAAGAGAAGGTGGCAGAGGATATGCTGGGCCTCGTCCAGAGTCTCAAAGAGCAGAGTCTTGTTGCCGGGAAGATCATCCTCAAGGACAACAAGGTACTGCAACTTTTGGCAACTGTGGCTCTGCTTCATAGCGTGAGATGGGAAAAATTCATTGCGAGCAGGTCCTGGAGAAGAGCTCGCACCTGGCCGAGGGGAACTTCGCCCGACTGAAGGTCGAATCGGATCGTCTGAGCGAGTATCGAAGTCGCTCCTGCAAGTGCTGGGTCTATCTCCTTCTCATCATCATCTCGGTCACCTTTTTCGGTGCGCCACTGATATACTGGTCTTTGAATAAGGGATTCAGTCTTTCACTTTCCCCCAAAGTTTCAATGCTTATTTTTTTTAATACAGCAGTGAGAGCAACTTGCTTGCTATTGATTTCATGTGAACATGCCTCAAACAATCATAAAAGTAAATTAGAAAGTAGAACTATATGGAGGCACCAGTAACCATCAGTAGAGTCTATGGTATATTGGCTGCAGATGACATGAGCAAAATCTGCATATTTTCTTGCTGCTTTGGTCCATACTCAGCTCTACCTCAGAGAAGAAAGGAGAGAGACAGGTGTGCATCTGTCTCACTGCCTAAATTTGCCATTTATTTCTAAATAATGGAGATGAAAGTATTTTCAGCCTATCCCAGGGAAAAACAAGCTGCATGATTCAGTCTCTCGTCGTCTGGCTATGATGTAAATTTAATGATAACACTGGACGTCCAGCAAGGGCTTTGCTTTAGCTAAAAATAGTTGAACATTTCCCCGAACCCCCCCCTCCCACGGAAAAAGCCACAAAAGAGATGGCTTTCTATTCCTGAAATGTGTCATGTGGTCTCACATTGCAACCAAATACCGACTTGTTTATATTTCATTTCGTCCAGGGATGGTGATGTTCATGCGTCTGTTCAAGAAGAGGGTTCACTACGGCGCCTACGCCCCTCCGCAGCCTCATCCGACCGTCACCCTTCCGCCTTCTTCCTGATGGGGAAAACGAGATTGCAAGGAAATCGGGTGGGGGGTGGGGTCGCTTGGCTGCTGTGCAACTGCGAGTGAGAGCCTTGTCGATTTTCAGATGGGAAATATATTAAATAATATTTAAGAAGGGAAATGTTCCAGAATATATACTTATTTGTGAATTTTGAAATGTGAGGGTCATTCACGGGAAGCCTGGACTTGCGCTGTGATTCGATATGATAAAAATACGTTCCCAAAAATTCACCTATTTCACGATGTACCTGCCTATTAAACCGATGCACTCGGATCATCACTTTACAATTACTCAAGTGACTATCGCGTAAATATTTGGGCGAGCCTGGAACCAACTGCAGGACACAAACCGACGCTTTACGGCTTGGGGCTCGGTCGAACAAGTTGAACGTTCTTGGTCGCCATTGGGCTGACGCTTTCCGAAATTTCAAGATTTCATAAATTTCTCTTCTGCGCTCCCTTTGTTTAGCTAGACTGCCCAGCGATTTCCCCCATCTTTACAGGATTAATGTCTTCTTTCGCTGTCACGCTGAATTTAACACGTGAATTTACATATTCGTTTCATAATTATCGTAAAGGACATTATTTCTCAGAATAATCTGGAAACTGGAGCGATCCGTCAGACCGAAGGTCATGTTCGTGCTGTCTCCAAATTGTGGGAAATTGTTGCGAGTTGTGGGACAAACTTTTTCAATTTACTGTACAATTGCTTTCATATACGAGTCCAAAAAAAGTTTAAACTTTCCTTCGAGTCCTGCGGTTGGAAGTCGCTCACGTGGGAAGCCTTATGTGAGGCATGGTGACTCGAATTCAATTTCCTTGCTTAATTACAACTCCAATTACGCCGTAGCGACGACTCGGATGAGCCGATGCCCCCCCCCCCCCGCCTGCAGCGACATCTACACTATGGCAGGCGGTATTGCGCCTGTATGCGCACTACGTTTAGGGGACGCGGAGATATCGTCACTTAATGCAATCTTAATGTTAGCAGAGGGCAGACACGTCTTTAACCCTGTAATTACCGTTCTGGGTCCAATGGACCCTCGTGCAAAAATTATTCCGTTTGTGCAGGTTGCGCTGCGAACTTGACAGTTCCGATACTCTATATTTTCATGAAAAAATGTAATAATGATTAGGCAAAGTATCTTCAAAGAGATTCTTAGGAAACGAAGAGTTAAACACACGACCATCCGGGTTCTGGTAGTTACGGGGTTAAGAATTACCGCGAATGGCATTTTTGCGTGGCTTCGCAAACAGCAAAAATCATGGATTATTTCGAGGGAACTCGCCTTACTGGATAACCGCTCTCTTTGTCTCTCTATCAGAGCATCACGACAGCTACAGGTATCCAAAGTGGGGTGATACCAAGCCCAAAGTGGGGTGATACGAGGTCCAAACTGGGATCTAGCGAGTCTGCATCATTCTGACGCGTTATGCTGTTCCGTCCATTATGCAAACTCGATATGCATCAATATGCATTGATTTGCGAAGAAATGACATCAAATCCACGGAAATGTTGGCACAAATTCGCAAATCACTGCAGCCTCTCACGGATCCTCACGAGAGACATCTAGCGAAAGTCGAACGAATCTCCCCTTGATCTGGCTTAATTACCGATGCTAATGCGGTTGATGACTTCATCATGACGGAAATTCATTCGGAGTTGTTGGAACCCAAACCGAATCGAGCCTGCTGTTTGCCCTTTCTCAAATTGCATCGAACAAGAACTTCGTTTGTCTGGGTTCCACAGTTTTTTAATTATAGTTTCTTATTTATGTGGATATGTGTATTCATATTTTTATGTCAGGACAGAATCATATCCATCATATTCCAATCATGCACATTTTATTCATAAAATCGAAGCGAAAGGCTGATAATATTTTGTATTAATAAGAGGTAGAATTCTTTTTTTCTGCAAACCCAAACGCAAACAGAGAAGAGTTTCGGGTCTCATCCCTTGGGGTGCGGACGGGAGGCGAAAGCAAAAAAGGCACGGAAATGAAGCACAAGAGACAAAAGAGCGAGATAAAAGTTCCGACAAACTCGCAGAGAGGAAACCGGATAAGGCCCGAGTCACACGATCCACCTTCCTCCCCCTGTCCCCTGGGATCCCCTGGGAATCCCAGGGATTTCCTCTCTCCGAGTCGTGTGGAAGTCGGACTCGAAGAGCCGCCCAATAACCGAGGTAACCACCCCTAACCTAAAGAAAACCCCACAGACAGCAATAGACCAGAAAACCCAATAACCGCGGTAAAACCTCGGTAACCACCCCCGACTCGCGTCACAACCTCTTCTTCCCCTCGTCCCCCACCCCTACACACCCCTCCCCCACCCAAAACCCCCTATAAATCGTCTTGAGAATCACCACCATCCAATACAGATGAAACCCCAGTATCCCCGCCGATGCATAACCCAAAACCTGCATGATCACCGACATGACCGGTATGACATCCTTAAAGACGACCAAGAGCAACCAAGGAAACAAAACGAGCCTGGTCACGATCCTCGGCACCACTGTCACCAGCAGGATCCGATCCCTCACTTTCTTCAGCCCCAGCGTCTTACACGCCCTCCCGAACTGCAGGCACCAATCCGTACTGTAATGCAGCAGAAGGACCAACGAGAAGAACCGGAGGAAGTTCATGGTCCAACAAGCCAGGAACGCCACCAGCGTGCACACGTGATGGATCGTATCCGACACGTTCCGCCTGTACAGCATGACCACCGTGTCGCAGAGGTAGTACCCAAACAGTGCGATCGTGTACCACCACAGGTCCAAGGAGACCGGATGCGCTGGATACCCCTCCCAGCACCGCCGGACATCCCAGAGCCAGGGCTTCCCCCAGAGCACCCAGACCCCCGCTATCAGGGCCCACGTGAGTATCAGGCAGTTCCAAGCCGCGTCGCTGAAGATCGTGTGCTTGTCATAGCCTGGGAATACCAACCACGACCTGCAACACAATAAGCGTTGTCAGGCGATCCGCAAATTCCAATCGCCTAATATAAAACATGTTAAAGTAAATATTGAAAGTAGATCAATTTCACGAAAGTGAGCTAATTCCTGCTTAATTTAGCGAGAGACTGAATGCACTCCTTTGAAAAACGAAGTTTCTTTTCGTTGATTTCTCCACACTCGAGATTTTCATGAAAATTCTGAAACCCTGAAGGGTTTCATTATTTCCAGAAGCTAATTTGCGGGCATCGGAAAAGGGAAAAGGAACAATATTAGCCCAATCCCGAAGCAAGCCTCCTTTGAGTTTGTCATTACAGATGATACACGCAAAATATATTATGCATATCCATATATGTAATTCTGCGTCATTCGGGGTGCGATAAACAGCTAAAAATTTTAATGAGTTGAAAAAACTATTGTTTCATATATAATAAAATAATTTTGTGCACACAATTTAGTTTCAATTCATTTCAATCACTCGCTCACTTCAAGAACTGAGCGAGTTCACGGGATTGCCAAGGTCATTTTCATCATACGTCTCAGCGGGATGAGTGAGATCATCAGACAAAGGGTGCCAAATGTCATTACCTGTACTGAGGGAATAACTTCTTGCATTTTTTTCTGATGGTCACATATTCCATCAGTTCTCTCAACATTACGGGAGATGAAACGCAGTTTATATAACTGAAATAAGAATAAATAAATAAATAACAGAATTCATTTTTTTTTTATTTCACGGAAGCTGTCAACATGATTACAAAAGCTTCCTTACAAGTTTATTATTCGTATGTGCAGTATTTGTTTGCATGGACTTGTATGCACTTCTCATAGCGATCACATTTCCCCCCACCCCCTTATAGCCAGTGAACGTATTGTCGTTTATGGGAATCAGGAACATATCCTGTTTTCGAATAGATTATCAAACTGACATAAGACAGCGCCGGACCATGGATTTTTATCGGGTTGAGCAACCCGCCCCAATGGCAACTCAATCCCTTCTCCTATCCAATTCGGCGTTGCCGCCTTTGGGATCATTTTTTGGGTATGAAAAGGGATTTTGATTAGGGCACCGCTGCATTTCAAATTAGGATTAATCTAATCCTTCTTAGTTGTCGCAAGTCTCTGAATGGATACCCCAATGTATATTGAAATTTTTGGGATGGGGGGGTCACCCCCAGCGGCGTATCATCGGGAGGACAAGGGGAGGCACGTTTTCAAGAAAGAAGCTTAAAAAAAATAGAAGGAAAAGACCCAGAAATACCAGAATTCCCATGTCCTCCTCCATTGTCCTGTGGTCTCCCACATTTTCCATCCACGCTCCGCTTATGGTGCTGCCCCCCCCCTGTTTCCCTCCTGCATATAAGAAATATTCCTGTTGAGAGGGCATTCATGGGCATTCATAGCCCCTGGCTACTAAGGCGTTCCAGTGACTGAACACCCACTGTTGTCGGAGTGAAAAATAGAGCTATTTCTTTCCCCCTTCCATTCCTCACACTTCGGCTTCATTATTTCAAGCAGAGAAAGATGACGGTCATGCGAGGGAATAAATAATTTCTGATCTCTGAGGTTTCCAAGATATGCAAGAAGAATCGAAGGTCAAAAGCTAGGTGGTTCTCATTAACACTCGGCATTCGATTTGCTGTGACGTGGACTGACAAATGAAACCTAAGGTTTTTAAGGGTCTAACAACAACAACGTTCGAATAGTGCTACAACGAGGGTGAGCTAAATTTTTCTTGACCTTTTCTCAGACCCAGAATTTTACGGTTGACGTCTTGTGAGCTGAATCTATCGCACTTGCTATGGCTATGCCGAGAAAATTCCACTCCTTTAGTTTCTGATTCCTCTGGAAAATGTCCCATATTTTAAGTTTTATGCAGAGTTGTAGGTTAGAAAAACCAGAATCTTTATGTAGCCTGGTGAGCATAAGAATCCTCGCCTGCGGTTATTGCTTCCGTATCAACCATTACGAACCTATCCAAAAGGGGACAATTTCTATCATTTCTGTGACAAAGAGGCAGTTAGCTGTTTGGTTCTCTAGTACCCCGTCGTACTTTTAGTCCTACCAGGTTTAAGGGTTCAAGGTTCAAAGTTCAAGGTTTCATGGGGACTTCTGGAGCAGAAAATATATTAATCCGCCCATATTGACGTCTCGGGTCGAGGTCAAGCGTTCTGCTAATCGTAAGATAGGCCTACCCCTCTTAAAGAGAGGTTTTTCTTGGGAGGGAGGGGGGAGAAGTATAATCGCTAAAAGCTACTATGCTCCCTTTTTGTTTTGTCCATGAAGGCATGAAGCATTTCCTTATAGCTAATCACGGGGTGAGCAGCCACTTCATCGTCACTTAATGCATTCCACGCTTTCACTACCCAACAAGTGAAGAAGTCCTGCCGCAAATAGCGCCCCACCTGGGGTTCTAGCAACCGAAACTGGCGTTCTGCTGCTAGCATCGGACTATAAAACCCACCACGTTATCGATTTCCTTAATGATCTTAAACACCTGGATCGGTAGTCTGGCCACACCAGACTGCCGATCGTCCCACTACATCGTTGGTCTGATAATGTTATCCCCCGTAATTTTCCTTCCCTCCCCAACCCACCCTCAAATGTGTGCTACACCCCCATGACCAATCCTTTTGCTACGCTTAATGCGTACGGAATGTCGATAATTCGGAAATGACCCAATTCCAATGCGCAATGAGTATAAGCCGAAAAACATTGCAACTGCTACTGATATACAACGTGTCAATGAGACGTTCGACTAAGAAAGAGTGGCTTCAGGAACGGAATACATTTGAAGTGACCACACCTATGTGTGACCACACTTATTATCATGCATGCAATTACTTGCCTGTTTTTATGGGGTGCGATCGGTCTTGCTGTTCCCATATTAAGCAAGGATGGAACTCAAGAATATATTAGTTTGATAGGCCATGGAATTTGCTTTATCGTCACACCAAATAAAAAAATTTAATTCAGTCCTATTGATTATCCAGGGGAAGTTGAAATAAGCACTCCGAGTACTATAAGTAAATTGGGCTCTCAAATGCTCAGTATCTCTCAGTTCAAGCACTGAAACTTGATTTTATATGCCTGGCAGAATCGGCGCGACAGAGAACGTCTTAACGCACGCTCTGTTGGTAGCACATCGTTCTTGTAAGAACCAAAACAGATACTGATCACCGCGAACAACCTCATACATTATGCAACAGCTCGGGACGCCACCACATCACAGGCCTTGACAGCACGCAAGACGTCTTTGAAACTCATTCGTGCCTTTTTTCTCGGGGCATTGCACATCTCCGGCAGTTAGTGCTCGAAGAATGCTCAACATTTTAAACTCGCATCTGAGGACCTGGCTTGAACGAATTCGGTTGGGCAGTCTCCAGGAACAGCACATCGGGCGAATCATGCCTCATTTCGCTACAGGGTCAGAGTTTCGGGACACTGCGTTTATGTATATCTGGGTATATTATATATTGTTTAATATACTATACCCTACCACATAATTTGCATCCTGTTGCAGGTATTACTATATATTATAATTAAGTTCTACATTTTCTCTAAAGGGCTGGGTGGTTTGGGCGAAGGGTGCTCAAAGCCGAGATGGGATTTCCAGAGTCTAGCGCCCTCGACTATGAGAATTCCCCAGATGACAAATTCCCCAGAGAACAAATGAGATGTTGATAACATCTAATTTGTTTTTGTGAATTGGATAATGGATGATGTCTTCAGAGAACCAAATAATGTCAAGTCCAATGATTTTGGGAGTTGTCATGAAATATTGACGATGTTTGAAACTCTTATTAACGAAAGCTGGCGAAAGCTTCTCATTAACACGCACGCGCGCGCGCGTGCACACACACACACACACACACACAGAGAGAGAGGCACACGCACGCATGCGTTTGCTCTCATGCTGAAAAGGCTTATTTGAAGGAAAAGGGGTTCCTCGTTTAATTTTCCTTTTTAAAGAAACCTTGACAAAAAAAGGGGGAGAGGGAAATATAGACCAGTTGCAGGACTGTCATTTCTGAGAACAAGGTGGTCAAGTAATTTGGACAGTAATTGGGGCTTCCATTACCTTGAAAAATGCAATTTAATTGCTCGTCATTACTTGATCGCATTACACCCGCCAGTCGAGACACCCTGGCACGAGAACTCACCGCAAGCTGGCCGGGGGACTCGCAGGCGGCGGCGCCTCCCCGGACAGACGATAGAAGGCAGGCGAGATGAGGTATCGCTTCACGCTCATCCGGACGCAGGCGAACACCAGCGCCATGAGGAGCGCCGCCTTGAGGTCGCGGAACTCGGGGTAGGAGGACGAAGCTGGCTCCGACTCGGTGTCCGTGTGCCCCGCGCTTCGACCGATGATCGAGACCGTGCCAGGTCGGAGGGCGTTCCAGGTCACGTTGCTAACGCTGCTGCTCAGCCAGAATTCCTCGTCCCAGAACCAGGAACCCAGGTTCTCCCATCCCCCTCCTCCTCCGGATTCCGTGCTAATACGATGGCATGCAAACATTATGTTATTTAATGTAGAGAAAATTCGCTTCAGCTACGAGTAATAAAATGTATTACATTGGTAATAACATTTTAGGGTCCGTTAACACAAATGAAAGACAACATCTAATGTAGTCGCGATTTGGAAGTAACTAGACACTATTTTTCATTCGGAGAAGACCATATAAAACAAGCTTATTCCTATCAGACAAAATAAAAAATAAAATGGTAATTCTGCACATTCTTGCTTATTCATAAAATCGAATCTCGGACAAAGTATTCATTCCCTCAAGGGACCCCTCACGATGGTACGACCGCATCACGACGGATGCAAAAACGAAAATCACGTGACCTGCAGAACCAGGCAAGAAGGGATCCTCCGGGGAATATCATCCAGAATATCATCCAGAATATTATCCTGTCATTCCCTAAGCCCTTTTAAGCCCCAACGAAGGATCCAGAGAAAAGAGAGACCGAGATCTACCTGGACGGATGAACGGGGACGGCGTGGATGCTCATGGTCACCTGGCCGCGTGCGAACGAGGACTGGAGTCCCCGGCCGTCCCAACTGGGATATAACCTCCAGGGTCCAGCTTCATTATGGCTTGAGGATGGGAGATGGAAATGTCTCTCCCCCTTTTCTTTGCGTCAAGGTCTTCTCCGTCTTTCGGCCTTTTTCTTTTATCTTTTTTTTTCCTTCTTCTTTTTATCCGTTTCTTCTTGGTTGGTTCGCGCTGTGACGAAAGAAAGGAAAAATTGGAGTTCTGGTAATAATAAACTTCCCGCGCGTGTTCTGATTCACCGTCACTGTCGTGTCGCCGTTGCTAACGGTGACAGGTGATTGAGGGTGCCGATTTGCATCTCATCTCGACAAGGTCGTTCCTCGCCTTGAAGTCGGGACTTTTTGAGTTTGGGTGAAGGACATGCTGGACGAAGCCGAGGAAGCAGGAAGCTGCAAACAATATGTCTCGATAAATGATTCGTCATTGGATTTCAAGGCTTCTTTGGTTATCGAGTGGACTTTGAGACGTCCGTTGCCCTTTCATGTCCTTTATGCCCTTCCCATTTTCGGTGAAACACGCGGTCATTGGCAGGGGTGGGAGTGGCAGGATAGACGAAAAGGCCGCTCCCTCCGCCAGTATATGTGCAGGCGGTTTCGTTTGTATCCACGCTTGGAAAAGCGAGGATTCCCAGGAAGTTCAAGGTTGCGGTCGGAGACGTATTGTCTTTTTCTTTTTTTCGCGCTTTCGAGGCTGGGAGAGGAGAGGAAAGGGAACCGCAGTTGCGTCATAATTGCCCAGGCCTCCCTCCTACTATTATGTCATACTGGGCCACGTTATATAACGGTTCTTCAAGAAAGGCGGGGAGAGAGAGAAATGGATCACGCTTGCTTCCACGGTCTCTATTTTCAAGGACACAAACACGTCGCGGCGTAGTAAAAACCGAAAACCTTCTTAGGCCTAAAGCGTAGAGGATGACACACACCCAGCTGGAAGGATTTATTGGGGATTCGACCTCGGGTTCTGACCTTGATCTTCCCGACCCGAGAAACACACGCACTCACCGGAAATAACGAAGGAAGGGTAGACCGGAAGTTCACGCGGGGGCACCTTCGAATTCCATGGGGCCTTTCATTGATGGATGAGCTGAGTAATCCGGGATTGCTTCATCTACATCATCGTCTCGGGATGCACTCTACTCGGAATCACCTATTAGGGGGAATAAAATGACGGGAGAGGGGAAGGGAGAGGGGGGATAGATGACCGGGGTTTTTAATGCGACCGGGTCTCTTCGGAACGATTAGAGCGGGGGATCGAAGATGCCCAAGCTCGAGCCGCCTATCCCTGGCCATTACAACACTCCTCCTGGATCCATCAACTTGAATCATTTCCTCCTCTCCTTGCGAGGGTCTTCCTTCTTTCCTTCCATCGGGAGTCTGCACAGGTAGGCCGGATGGAGATCGATGTTGTTTCCCTGCTCGATCTGCGTTACTGCTTTTAGGAAGGGAAGATATTCCTGGAATTTCTTAGACAATTTCTTCCCCACTTCAAAAGGGGAAAAGTTAATCTTTCTCTAATGAAATGAACGGCGAAAGCCGGAAATTAATTTCGAGGGGCGAGGCATTATGCAATCAACGATTGGGTCCCTTTGTCTCCCCCCCGAGTCATTCAGGCCTCGAGCGACGGATTTCTTCTGGAATTCCAGGGAATTCCCAGGACCATCCAGGGAATTCCAGGGAATTCCCAGGGAATCGGGGGAGTTTCCATGCGAGGATAGCGTGGATGGCAGGGGCTCTAATCGAGCTCTCTCAATAATCCAGGATATTTTGATGAATGGGATCTCTTCGTGGTCTCCGCCTCGTCAACTATACATGCCATCTTCCACGTTCCCTGTATTCCCCCCGTATTCCCCCCGTATTCCCCCTCTATTCCCCCTCCAACCTGTATTCCCTCTTTCTCCCCGTTATCGTTCGGGGATATCTCCTCGCGAGCCGGGCGGATTTCGATAATTGTGACAGGTGGCAAATCGCCGGATGGGGCCCCCGCGGAGGGGGACAGTCTGCCTTTTCAAACACAGTCTGCCCTTTTTCTCTCTCTCTCTTTTTTCTTCCTCGTTTCGTCTGCTTGGGAATTTTTTTTCTCTCGGGTGAAAATTATGCGATTAATTTTTCTAAGTAATTTTGTTTACACTTATATTTTCCAATATATATTTTACTTTCGAATTCGTTTATTTTTGTTACCAGTAAAAAAAATAAATCATATTATTTTGTTTGGTTCCACGTCGTCCCACGACACGAACCACATCGAGCACGACATCGCAACGACGAAAGGAAGAGATTGCACATTGCTCTCCACCTCCGCCTTGTTCTGCGTGTTTTAAATAAATAATCACCCGGGCATGGGAAGATGATGAAGAGGATAATCCTCCGTCTCGAGGGAAATCAACAAGGGAAATCAACGAGGGAAATGGGCTCTGGGGATCGGGAACCCTTTCCCCTCCCCCTTTTGCCTTGTCTATTCGCGTGTGTCTCCGTAAATCCAGGTAATTAACGGAGCTTTTAATCCGGATTTCACCCAGTCACTTACGACGCCGCGAAGTGTCTCCAGGGGAGGTCGGAGTGACGTCATCGACGTCGTCTGCTATCGGGGAACGTTGATTGAACGCGGGTGAATTGATGAGGGATGGGGTCATCGGGGTAAGTCCGAGGTGTCTCCCCGCATGGAGATAGATGAGGGGAGACAGGTTTCGCGATCTTCTCTCTCTCGCGATTGCCTTTTTTTCTCCCCTTTTTGTTTCTCGATGGCGTGCATATCCTCGGAGATGACGTCTAAATTGCACGGGGGGGCTCGATTGGATGGGGCCTGCCGACGCGTGCGATGGCGGGGGGGGGGGGCCTCTCCGGATTCCGTCAGGAATTCCCTGTCATGTGGGGATGCACGCCTCGTCACAGGCGTCTGAGCCTTGTCAAAAGTGGAAATTTACAGTTTCTGATTTACAAATTGATGGATCTGTGCTCTGGATCCCCGGGTCCCGGGGGACTCTCCCATCCATATTCTAATCAAGTTCTTTCGTCTCCATTTTTCCCTCCTGTTTCGTATTTCTCCGGCCTCCTTCTGGCAGGGAAAAGCCGGGAAGGAAATGAGAAAAGGATCAAGAGAAATATTATGTCTCCCACACGGCGTCGGGAGTCCATCACGACGGATAATTGGTTCTCACCACGCTCCACGGTCCCCCGATCACGACTCGGCTCGCTGGATTCCGCCATCGGTGTCGGCTTCGTGTGGGCCCCGTGTGGACCCTATGTGGGCCCCGTGTGGACCCTTCACGCATGATGTCGACCTGCACTAATAGCGCCCATATCGTGTTGGGGCATCGAAGCCTGATAGGTCCTGGAGTGCTTCCGTGATCGAAAAGCGTCAAACTTTTCAAGTAGTCCAACTTTTCCTCGAAAAAAAAAAGGAAACGGAGAAGCAAATGGGAGGGAGGAGAAGGAGAAGGAGGAGGAGGAGGAGGATAAGGAGGAGGAGGAGGAGGAGGGAGGATAAGGAAAGCGCTTGCTCCAAGGAAAGAAGTAGGGACCTCGGCGGAGGAGGAGCCGGCAATTAGGTCCGGATTTGACCCACAGAGGAGGCATCGGAGAATCAGTGTGGTTTTCTCGACAGAGACACACAGGGGATATGGTGGAGTCATGTATCCGTCAATCCGATTTCTCCTCTCCAGGCTCTTCCCGTCCTTAGGCCCCGATCCTCGCCATGGCTCTCCTTCCCGTTCGCAAACTCCTTCCTAGCCTGTTTTCCCTCCCTCAACTCTTCGTCTTCGTCGTCTCGCTTCGTCTCTCGTCGGGTGAGTCCCTCGAGGTCGCGTTCGCGTTCGTCCGAGTCTGTCGAACCGGACGTCTGAAAATGAAAAAAAAGAGGTTCGTTTCGAAAAAATCGGCGATTTTCGAGCGATTCTCTTCTTAATCGGGTTAGGACGATTCGCGCGCGAGATCTGGCGAATTCGCGAGGGAGCCGATGCTTTCGTTCGGTTTCCGATGCACTTACCGATGTACTTCCGATGGATTTACCGTACCGCATCGTCACGGTACGTAATATTAAGAGAAGCACGAGACCTCCGCAGATGATTTCCCATGGGGAACGTAGCATGCGATGATGCGATGTATCCACGAACACGAAAATCGTTCGGAAAAATATTAACATAACACCCCACCTTTCGTGACGTTCGTATAACACCGCAGACGAAACTTCCCGGCCGCACGTCTTCGGCAGAAGAATCTGGAAGGAGCCGAGCTCGAAGGGAGCCGCGTCCGACGGATCCCGTCTTCGAAGGAGGCCCGGCGTCCGACGAGAACCGCATGCGAAGGGATCCGAGTTCGAAGGGACCCACGTTTTTGAAGGGAAGCCGGGACGGGGCGTGGATCCCCTGTGAACGCAGACTCCCACCCTTTCCCCCCCACCCGCATATACATCCCCAAAACCCCGGTGTTAGCACACGGCGTCCGAGAAAGGATGCAATCATGATATCAATGGAGATGCATGGAAGGTGGATGGTTGTATGATAATGATGTGGCCGTGTCTCGTTAGAAGGCGATTGGGCGCACGCGAGGGAACCATCTCATCCCATCTTCCGTCATACACCCATCCTCCCGTACACCCCTCATCCACCCCTCATCCACCCCGTATCATGTGCAGAACTTCCCCCTCGTGTGCATCGTAACATCCTCACGGAGCAGGAACATCCTCACGGGGCAGGCACATCCTTCACTCGATTCTCCCAGAACAGCAGCACGTGCCACTTGTTTACGAAGTTTACCTTCGGCGCAGGTCTTCAAGGTGACGGCGTTACGTGACGGCGTTACGTGACGGCGGTCACGTGGCGACTCGGAAGAGTCATGACCCCGTGTCGATCTGGCAACTTGATACTTCGGCTTTCGGGCTGTTTTAGTGCAAAATAAGCATTGAGAGCCTCGAGAGTAGAAATGCAGATGCGTCGCCAAAATTGAATTAGAAATTCAAATGCTAAAAAAAACACCGAAATGGAAATTTGCAATATTTTGGTTGACGAAAATTCGCAGAGCCACAATCTCTGTGCAAATTATGAGTTCATATTCTGCGGCAAACCTAAAAAATACCAATAATTTTTTTTCCCTTTCCTTCGTCTAACCATGCTAATCATGAAGAATGCGAGTTTATCAGCTGAGATTTTTCCTTTTCCTCCGAAGGATTAATTATATCTCCCCTCTTCGAAGCGAGACGATTGACAATAATAATTAATAATAATAACATTACCACAATATTTATTCCGTCATTCCGAGAGAGGCGTGGTCCCAAAGTCAAGTTCACATCTCATCCTTCCGTGAGTTTATTTTACCGTGGTAACTTAACGGAATTTAAAGTAATTTAAAAGACGAACGCGGAAAATAATTTTGAATTCGAATTCGAAAATTTTGAATTTCTGGTTTCATCGGCGTTGTCGAGAATGTTCAGCTTAAAGTCGTGCTTTTTAGTCGTCGCTTAAGATTGCTTACGACCTTACGACCTTAGGGTCGTCAGTCGAGTCGCGATCGTGACGACATGGGGCTGCGATGCGCTTCTTGGATTCTTAAGTGGAATGTCGGTAGTCGATTGAAGTTTCCAAAAAAAAAGCGGGTAAAAAGTGAAAAGAAGGTGATGGATTCCTCGCCTCGATCAAGGATTTGCATAAAAGCCCCCAAATTCGATTCGAAGGCGGTTTCGTTTCCCTGGTGTGATGGCTCGGAATGTCTCCTCGCAGAAGACAGCACTCGGCAAATCACATTTTCGGAAACAAAAAAAAACTGGATTTGCAAATCTGAGAATTTTGCAAAGAAGATTGGGACTCCCGAGAGGCACGGGACTCGTGAGTCTCGCCCTTTTTCTCCACCGTTACATCTTACGCAACGTGGGATCGTATCTGAATGGCATACCATTGGGACTCCCGAAGATCGTAGAGAGTCATGACTCCCGTGGAAAATGGGTTAAGAGACCCTGGCCTAGAACGTAATGGACATCACGTCCTTGCTTCCATCTCAGGACACCAAAGAGACACGGGGTCGGTCAGAATTACGACAGTCTTAATCGACGAACGATCCCGCATAAAAACGGGTCCCGATCGCGCCATGCGGCGACCCCGATCGCGCCCCCCCTCAAACCGCCACATCGCGCCTCACCCCCAGGTCGCGATCCGGAATTCGGCGGACCCGTCTCGAACGTGACCGTGATCAAAGGCCGCGACGCCGTGCTCGGCTGCCGCGTGGACGACCTCCGAGGCTTCAAGGTCGCCTGGGTGAAGGTCGACACCCAGACCATCCTCACCATCCACCATCATGTCATCAGCCGCAACGCCCGGTTGGCCCTGGAGCACGATGATCTCGTCGGGAGGAAATGGGATCTGCGAATCTCAGATGCCCAGGAGGAGGACCGGGGCTGGTACCTGTGCCAGGTGCGTTTTTTTTTCACTCTTTGCATTCATATAGTGATATTATTAGTAATATTGATATTATTATAATTATTAAACATTGAACGTTGAAAACGCACTCAGGCGTCACGTCGTTAGACGAACCGACGTAACGACGATCTCGCATTGCTGCGATCTTCTTTTCCACCTCTGAGATTTTCAAAGTGCTCCGGCGAGATCTACCAGGAGTATTGCAATCCCGCGGTCGATCAGGCGAGGCTGCGGCTTCATTCGCTCGGCATTAAGAGATTTGGCTTTTTTTTTTTTAGAAGTACCAGAAGTACCCGAAGTACTTTCGCCGGTTCACCAACAAGGCATCGCTAAATTCAAGACTCGCTAAATTTAACTATGTGTTAAAACAAAGTTGGAGTTTTGGTGAAGGTGAATGCGGAATTGAATTTGCACTTGAATTCGCCAAACGACTTCGCCGATTCGTGTGCGGAAATGCGATTAATTACGACCGTCCGACATTTCGTTCCTGTCGATCCTTCGCCGAATTCGTCAATTCGCCAATTTCAATCAGGATCTCAACTTTCTGTCAAGGCTGACTCAACGTTATGGGTATTTTTTTAACTTTCCTCACTCGCGAAGTCCATTGTCGTCTCGATGGATTTTTCGAGAAGCAATGGGTCACGTGACAGTTGTCGATTTCATTAAACCCTGGCTGATCCCATTTCTATGTAAATTCGCCTACCAGGATTAATCAACTGTCGTATGAGGTCAGTACGGGAATCGGACAAATTAAAATGAATTTCTCGTACAAAATCCTAAACGCGGGAACACACGCAGGCGTTTCAAGAAATAAAGGTAATTCCCGTCTAAGCCGTCCGTGCGACCCGAGGAAACCGCAGACGATTTTATTCCGCATTAGTTCGAGCGAATGTCGCTGGTGGCACCGAGGAAGGGAAGCGGCCTATTACCTGTTTTTGTGGGCAGGAAATATTCACACCGGAGGATATTCACAAAACGAATATTAGCCCAGGCACTCTTTGGTTCCCTTAATAGTGGTCCAGGGGGTCCCAAGTGGTCCAGTGGGTCCCAAGTGGTCCAGTGGGTCCCAAGTGGTCCAGTGGGTCCCAAGTGGTCCAGAGTGATACTGAGTGACCCGTTGTGACTCTAAGTGGCCCGTACACGTATATAGGGTGGTTCGAAATAAATGCTCTACCGTTTTCTATGGGAGAATCACAGTTTAATTTACATCGGCAAGGTGTTATTAAAGGTGTTATTGGAGAACACGTAAAACTTTATGAATTTTCGAAATTGAATTTTTTTTTTTAAATTGCACGGTATTTTCCATTGAAGACCTCTCGGAACACGACATTCGGAGTACAGGTCTCTTGAAAAAAGCTAAATACAGCTGTCCATGGAAAAGTACAGGTTCCGAAAGGCACAATCCAATTCGCTTGAGTGTTTGTCAACACGGCTTTTGTCACTGTCGCCGTTTGATCTTGAGTTGCATCGTCGGGCCTTGATTACCGTTTAGGTTTCTGATGACCATGGCGAATATACCACGCCTTAAAGTCAATTTATGGAGAGAAAGCTCAGCTGGAGTGAGGCTGCTCATGAACTCCATTGGATAGTTATTTTGCTCTTCGTCATCCGAGACGACACCGTCGAGCCTCTAATCGGTCTTCGCGCATGCTCCGGTTCGCATATTAATTTAAAGTATTTATTAAACAGTGAATGAATTATGATATTCATCCAAACAAACAGAAACACGTAAAGAAACGCGCACGTTTTTGTAATCACGTAATTTATGCGCAGACTACCAACAGATTTATGACATTCCACTATTGAATTAACAATGCTGCTCTGTAGTCCCGTTTCATTCCAGGGAGTAATGAAAGAATTCCAAATGTTTGTAGGTAAAACAGGAGTCGTTTTCGCTATTGAAAGCATCGGGGATTAGAGCCCTGCACGGGTTGTGGTCCGGCCCGATCTCCCCGACTTGACCGGACCCGCGGGTCGTCTAGGGCTTCAAGATCATTCGGGTCGGGTCGAGTCGGGCGGAATTTTAGCATTTAAATGTTATATTTCTTGTAGTCCGAAACCATGGAAACTCCGTGTCATAACTGGAATCTTATTTATGCATGCAATCTGAGAGAAGGAAAACCCAAAATTGTGTGACCATGATTATAAATAAAGAAGGAAGAACTTGCCACGCGCATGGAGCAGTTAGTGCCTCTCGAGACCAAAATCTGTATGGCTCTTTTATTTCCAAGAAATGTTCTCCTGTCAGTCGACAATCGATGAACTCTTGTTTTTACATAGTTACTTGGAATGCTGAGAAAATGCGCAGGAAAGCAAAGGTTAAAGCGCTTAATTTTTTATTCTGTCGGGTCGGGTCGGGTCGTGAAGTTGTGTAGGAATTTGGGTTTCGGGTGTGGTGCGGGCCATTACTTGAATCGGGCTATCGGGTCGGGTACCGGGAAATTGGCCCGTGCAGGACTCTATCAAGGGTAGCATAACGGTGAACATTTTGATGGCTCGTAACTCATCCTGGGTTGAAGATATTTAGAATCTGATTGGCCGATGCACACCTTCTGACCATAGGCTTTCGAACGATGCATAACATGTCAGCATATCTATTTGCATAACGTCGCAACACGGCTTACAAACGTACATTAAATATATAGAGATTATTATTTACGAATCCGATCAGGTGAACACATCCCCGATGAAGTCCCAGAAGGGCTACCTACAAGTGGTGGTCCCACCCGAGATCCTCGACGAAGGAAGCACGGGCGGCGACGTGATCGAGAAGGAGGGCGAAGACGTCCTCTTCCGCTGCCAGGCGAAGGGCTACCCCCACCCGTACATCACGTGGCGGCGGGAGGACGAAAAACCCTTCAAACTCGCGGACGCGCTCGTGACCGTCATGAACGGGCCGGAGCTCCGGCTGAAGAAAATCAACCGGCTGCACATGGGGGCTTACCTCTGCATCGCCTCCAACGGCGTCCCGCCGTCTCAGTCCAAGAGGTTTAATCTCAAGGTTCAGTGTACGTCGCTTCGCTTTCTCGCTCGGCCGTTGCGTTTCGTGCCGTCGAATGCGCAATATTAGATTTTGCACTTGCTTTTACGATCAGCTGAAAAAAATTTACACGGATTTTTCGTTATACTTTTCTCGTCCAACCTGGGAGTATGCCGTTTCCATCCCGTATTTGAAAAATCTTTAATTAAATCTTAAGCTAACCGTAATTCCCACGCGAGCATTTTATTTTTATCTGAACCAGTCCCGCCGATGCTCTGGGTCCCGAGCCAATTGGAAGGGGCCTACGTGGGCCAGGCTTCCGTCGTCCTACGATGCCACACCGAGGCTTTCCCCGAATCCATTAATTACTGGCTCGACGAATTCGACCAAATGATTCGACCTGGTTCGTCCATATTTTATCATTTGAAATGTATTTAACATATGTACATTATATATTAATATCTCATAAATATTAATTTATACTCGGCACGATCCCCTCCGCATGTTTTCCCAGGTGAAAAATACGACATGACAACGAATCGGACGGGCTCCCACGTGACCATGACCTTAACGGTCAAGGACATCACTCTCCGCGATCTGAAAGGCTACCAGTGCATCGCCAAGAACTCCCTCGGACAGACCGTCGGTTCCATCCGACTCGAGGGTATGTTGCCATTTTTCGCATCCGCCAATTTTTCGCATCGGCTGAGCGCAGTCTGCTTCTAGGGATTGAAATCGGCAGCGAAAAAGTTGCAAAAAATTGGCAACTAGAAGGACTTGACTTCGTGTCAGTTTCGATCGAACTTAGATTGAATTTTCCTCACATCCAGGATTTAAATTCTCCTGGGATTGGAATGAGGTTCGCTTCAGAGAGCAGACGCAGTCGATACTGAAAATTATATTATGTTTGTGTGTATAAAGGAGTTTATATAGATCTCTTTGTTTCGTTGAGGCCCAATATGGCGTCTGTCCATCCTCCCCCCTCAATCGTGAACTTCTGAAAATAATATCGATATGATAGGATTAAGCATTGGGGGAAGAGGAAAGAGGCGAGGGAAGGTGGGGGGGGGGGGGAAAGTTGCGACAAAAAAAACTTGAATCTTTTTTCCATTCTTCGACANGGGGGAAGAGGAAAGAGGCGAGGGAAGGTGGGGGGGGGGGGAAAGTTGCGACAAAAACAACTTGAATCTTTTTTCCATTCTTCGACATATTGATCCAATATGTCGCCTTCGCAGCCTCAACCACTTTTCTCGGTATTCGACTGGATCCTTATTTTGACTGGGACGATTACGTCTGTCGCCTCCTGAAATATGCTGCAGCTTCTATGTACCGTCTCTTTTCCATTCTCTCCCAGGAAGACTTTCCAAAAAATATATATATTGCGCGCTTGCTTACAATCACTTAAACTATGGAGCACTTGCACGGAGTCGTTGCTCGGCGCAATATGTTTGTCGCATCCTTTCGCTCCAGAAACGTATCGAAAGAATTCCACGAGTCAATATGTTGTCCTCTCTTCCCTAAATTCAAGTTCTTTACCTTCCTCGGCTCAGGTCTCTTTCGCACGAGTGTCTTTCGTCTCCCAGAACGAAGCCGTCTCGAACACCTCGGCGTACATTCCTGCGAAACGCGAAGTAAAAACGACTACCAATGGTACCAAAAACGACTACCAATGGTAGTCGTTTTCGTGTTTCGTGCGATCATCGCACGAAACTGACTGATGGTCTCTTGGGGTCCGCAAAACTTCAATTTTATCCCAAGGTCGATTCGGTAGCTCAGTCTTTCTGACTTCCGGAGTCAGTTCAAGGGATTCTTTCTCTCACACCCTCTCTATTAATTCTCGGAATTCTTTGTTATTTCCTGGTAACTTCCCTTCCTGCCCCACAGCAGGCTTACATACTCACCGTCTTCTTCAATTTTTGTTCAATCCTTATTTAGACTTTTCTTTTGTTTCCTCTCACACTCCTCCTTTCGTCAATTTCTTATCCCTCACTCCTTTTGAATTGCTGCCTATTTTCATGCGTACGGCTTCGGCGTGTTCTGTCCAGTTCTGTGCATTTGCTGATTTATTCAATTTATTTATTTATTCTTCTCTCACCCCCTTCTGCTTCTTTATGAGGGTACGTACATATGTATTTATAGACATCATGACGAACGCAACGAGCCTAATGGCCTTGCAAGAGCGATGGAATACACATTACTATTAGTTGGGTGTAACGCTTGTACATTTCTGCAGTGTTACGCGAGCAGCGCCATAAAAATGTCCTGCAATTGCCAGAGACGCATAAAGTCGGCAATCGCAATGTAAAACATTTACCAGAATAAAACATTTACTCTTCTGGCTGGAGATTCATACGTGCCATTTCCACCGTGGATCGATTTTCATTCGCCGATCTGCAAAAAAAGGCCTGATCGTCGATTCGAAATCGCAATCATAATTTGGCGGAAAGGAAATGCTTGGCTCTGCCAATCGATTGACCCTCTCAATCGTACAATCGCGGGCGACTCAATCGACGAATCGATCGATTGATCAAATATTAATGGATCTACGTGGATATTTCTCTACACACAAAACTTTTGGTTTGTCGTAAGTTCTTCCAATATGACGCACTTTGAATGCGTCAAAATATGTGCCGAAATTTTCGCTCATGCGGGGCATGTTACGATGCCAACCTTGACGACGACCTAGCCAATTTTGAAAGATGGGAACTAGACTTGAGCATGCCATTTTTTGGCGTAAGTCATTCCAGGCAATCGGAAGGAGTCCAAGTAGAGTTTAAAAAAAGCTGCTTATTTGCCATTTTGCGGCATTTGTCGACGGGAGGAAATCGAGTGGAAATTTCGTTCGATGAATAACTCAAATGCCTTTAAGGCCGGCAATTCAATCACGGCCACCGATTAAGTTTTTAATCCTCGAATTAATCCCGATGAATCAAACACGAGCGGCTCCTTGAATGATGCATCCGCTGCCCATTGGCATTGGCACGACGACGTTCGCAGCGCCTCCGCTGACTTCTTTGCAATTTTTATGCGTCCTTCGGCGGATTTAGAGGGAATTCCCTCGTGGGTCGATTAAAATTTGATCAATCGATCGATTCGTCGATCGAGCGCCGATCGATTGAGAGAGTCGATCGGTTTTTAGTGCCAGACATTTCCTTTCCGCCAAATTATGATTGCGATTTCGAATCGCCCCTCTCTGCGAATTCAGCAAAGTAATAAATTGGCACAAGAACTTTCCCCTTCCGCAATCTCGTTCGAACGGAGCAATTGGCACGATAAACTCCCTGCTCGAAAAAGATCCAACAGCAGGGTATTGTCAAGCAACTGTCCAAACTGCCAGAAAACCGTCCAAACTGCCTGACTAAATTGTGAAGCAACCGTCGAAAAAAAGCAGCGAAAAAGGCAGGGACGTCGTCGGGGTCCTAGCGTCTCCGATCCGTTTCTTTCGCGATGGGATTCTATTGGAATAAAAGTCGCGCCGATCTCGTGCACGACGCCCGTCATTTCATTCATATCCGCCAATGGTGTTTTGGCTTATTGAGTGGCAGTTGACAACGATGGCGCGTTCGATCTTTGTCTCTTCCATTTCCCCAATTTCCATTTCTGTCATCATTTCGTGGAATCAATTCGCGCCGTAAAGTCGAGAAAATCTCGGAAGAGGCGAGATTTGATCTCTCGAAATGAAAGACAACGAAATGCTTTCGATGCCTGTCTCATTCTCGTCAAGGCTTTTCTCCTTCAGATTTTTTTTTTTTACTTTCGCGCAAATTTACATCCTTTCGAAGGAAGATTTGCAGTGAAAGGAAGCAAATTTTTGGGATTTCAGAGGTGGAGCGGCCGATTCAGGAGGCGGAGACCGAGTCCATCGTTCCACCCCCTCAAGGTCAAAATCATCAAGGTCAAAATCACCAAGGTCAGTCCCTTCAAGGTCGGTCTCGATGTCACCGAAAGCAATCAGCTGATGCAAACGGATTTCCGCGCGCGCAGGGCGGAAGGATCCGGACGACGGCGACGGCAGCGCCGATGGTGACGACGGTGACGATGGCGACGACGAAAGCGCAGAAGTCGAAAGCGACCGGGACGGGGGACTCATCAAGACGGTACTCATCAGCACCAGTACGTTCTCGCATTCATCTATGAAACCCGAAGGAAAAACAGGTGCCGGGGGGAAACGGCGTCACGGATACGAGCAAGAAGTTCGCAAACTGTCGGCTTCGAGACGTCACCGTCGGCTTCGAGACGTCGCCGTCGGCTTCGAGACGTCACCGTCGGCTTCGAGACGTCGCCGTCGGCGTGGCACTTCTCACTTGGAAACGTTATCAGCGTCGTCGATCGATCGAGAAAAGAATCGCATCACAGAGAAATGTCCTCATAGATATCTCGAACGCATTCGCGTGGGCATTAAGAACGCGGCACGATGCAAAAGGTCTAATCTCGCTCCGGAAATGTAACGAAATTAAACCTCGCTTCCGATTTCTAAAATGGAATCTGCAAGAATGGCAATTTAGAAACTTGCTCGAGTTCGCTGCCGCTTCCAATCTGGAACGCGATCGATCATCGATTCCATCCGGTCACCGTACCGCATTTTTTTATTTTTTATTTTTTTATTTATTCCCTTCGATGCAAGGATAGTCCTTTCTTTCTCCTCTCGTTCGCATCGAATACGCGGCCTCGAAACGAATGCAAAACTCGGAAGTCACACGTGCGACTTCCGATGGTTTGCGATGCGAAAAATTCAACGAATTTCGGCCCGTCGTCGCGTAACGTCACCATAACCCACCGTAACGTCACCATAACCCAGCATAACGTCATCAGCCGACTTTTTTCTTTCTGCCTTCTGTCAAGAAGCTTTTTTCACCTCCGATGCAAAGAATATGACGGAATTAAGGAAAGCTGCGAAATCGTAACTCCTTTCAAGAAGGAATCCTTCCAGCAATCAATAATTAGTATTTCGTGCCACTGACTCCTTTACAGCTCTTATTCTGCCGAACTCCGCATGAACGTCTTCGTAACTCCAGTTCGCCTGAATTCGCCGCCTTTCGTAACATTTAAATATTGATAGAGACTTAACTTTGACATCACCATCATTCGACATCCCCGTCATTTGACACCCCCGTCATTTGACATCCCCGTCATTTGACATCCCTGTTCGAGGGCGGGAGCCGCGGAAGCCGATTGACGACGTTCCTCGAACGAAATCTGAGTCAGGCGTGCAGAAATTATGTCGTTTCCGGTTTCGCCAAAGAGGGAAGGGATTTTTTTTTCATCCTCGACGTGGGAGGGGAAATTGGAACAAACTTCCGCATCGATGAGATCAAATTTAAGCATGCGAGGTCGGGCTCAGATTCGATTTTTTTTATTTAAATAAGGATTTTATAGATATAGATTCTTTTTTTTCTAGAACTGATGGGATGACGGAAATGTATCGTTTTATTTGGTCATCTTTCGTACTTTTTGCCCTTTTTAGGTTTGCGTCTTCTTTTTACGTCTCTTTTTTTTTTGCAGTGCAAAACCTCCGTCACGCTTGCACGATCGTTATAAAGGATTCGCAGCCAGAATAAGGGAAATCTCGGGTGTGCCGGGTATTTTTGTTCGCCAAAGAGAGATATTTAAAACTTTGTAGGCTTGAAATTTTTGGTTTTCCTCTTCGAAAATTCTTCATTTCGAATGCTCTCATAGAAGACGGGAAATGGTACAATGTTTTAATAAAATAGTTTAAATAGATATTT